TTAATCGAATTATTGATATAAAAAAATGAATGTTTTTACTAGTAGCAGTTCAATTGTTGATATCAAGAATAGACATTTGCACTAGTAGTAGTAACCACGCAATTACTAATATCAAAAATGAAGGCACTAGTTCAAATTTCAACTACTAAGAAATCAATTCTTGATATGAACAATTGAATTTGAATGGCAGCCTATGGTGACATTTAACTAGTGAAAACACAATTACAGACATCAAGAATAATATTTTACTAGTTAAAATGTAATTCATGATATCAAGAATTCGATTTCTGCGACGATGATGATATAAAAAAAATTTAATTTTTACTATTGTAAATTTAATTCCTGATATCAAAATATCCATTGTTACTAGTAAAAATAAATTCTGATATCAAGAATTATCATTTTAACTAGTGAAAATTGAATCAAGAATGCATATCCTGTGAATGAATATAAGTCAAAACAGCTTGCCATAGGAGACGGTGTTTCACAGTTTGTGCTTTCTATCTTGCTCAGAGAAACACTCCCTCCACTACATGTATACAGGCTTGACCAAAGCAGGTCCATTTCCAATGTTCAGTGCTGTGGGTGAGTCTGATTACATTCAGATTGTTCGCTACAGTAATGAAAAACAAGTCTGGATAAGAGACAATCTGACTGTAGACGACTGGAACAAAGCTCCTGCAGAACTGCCTGAAACTAGAGAAGAGTTCTTAAATTATCTATATGATCTGTCACGCTGCCTACCATCTGCAGAGTGTTCTGGTGAGTTTAGACCTTTTCTCTTATAAACATCTAATCAACATATGAGCTCAGGAATAAAAACAAAGGTGTCATTTCATCAAGTGGCCACTTTGGGTTTTTCTATACACTGTAAAAAAGGACGTGAATTTAACGGTAAAAGACTGTAAAAATGCTACAGTAAATGGTAAATTCCCCTACTATATACAGTGAAAAACTGTACTGGACATTACATGTATTGGACATTAATTTTACGGTAGTATACCGATTTTTGGAAGTGAAAAAGACCGTATAATTTACAGTGAATAACCGTAAATTGACATTCCCAGAATTCCCTGCGTTACATTTCAAATTTGATGTTTTTTGTTGAAATAACTATGTTTCTTCTTAGTTTTTTCTTATCAGTTTTATATATTAGGGTTGTATGTTACACCTAATGCTGTTAAATTAATGTTTATTGCATTATTTCAGTTTCATGTGTGTCACCATGATGGTGTTTGGTGTTTGTGTGAATGACGCTGTGCACCTTCTATATATGTTCATATTTAAAAGCTGCTTGTGATGGGCTTTGGTTCATCATGTGACTTTCATGTGGTTATCAGTGTATCACAAAGGCGCAAAACAGATTTCAGTACTTCAATAGGTTGGTATATTAACATTTATATCAGTTAATGGAAATACGGTATTTAACTGTAAATTTAAGTTAAAACCGTAAAACCTAAAACGTTGCTACCGTATTTGTTACGGTAAAATTCCGGCAACCACAGCTGCCGTTTTTTTACCGTAAATTTTACGGATTTTTTTTTACAATGTACCCTACTCCCTCAAAAGGCACCCACTACCAATTACACACACACGCACACACATGCACATATATATGTCTGTGTGTGATTTTGTGTGATTGCAGAGTTACATGTACTCCAGAGAATAAGTGGCTGTAAGCTGGAAAAACTTCCTAATGGAACAGTAAAGAGTCTGAAGGCCTTTGATGAAGTTGCATATGATGGAATGGATTTTATTACCTTAAAGTATGACCTTCTTCCATGGATGGATAAAGTCACAAAAACCAAAATGGATCATCAAACTGGACGAAACCCATTCCTCAGAGATTTCCTCAGAAACTGCTCTAAGTGGATCTCCACATTTAACAACACATTTAAGAGTAAGTTCTGATTGCAATACTTTAATTAGTTCTTTTGTGTGTGTTTTTGTTTTTGTTTGACTCTTTCTAATTCTGTCTTGGTAGAGAGGTTGTTTATCATCATTATCATCGCCATTTAAGACACTTTAAGCCATGTTTAAATATTCAAACCTGAATGACTTTCACTGTAAAAAAATAAATAAAAATCCACCTCAAATCCACCTCCACTGTCTGTACAAGTGCTTTCTTGACTTATTTTTTAAAATGCATCTTCATACTTCAATCTCATAATACCTTAAACAATGAAGTTAAAATTTGTTACGTTATTTTGATGAGGTAAAGTAATGAAAAACATTATTGATCTTATTGATCATAATTTTACAGTATTCTTTCTGGGACAAAAAATGTGATTTTGTTTTAAGGAAATGAGGACTCTTCTTTTTCAGTGTACCCCACACATAAGTAGATGTTGACTTGTGCAGTCATCATTGGAGCATCGCTGCATGTCAGAATACTCAAGTCACCATTATTTATATAGCGCTTTTTACAATGCAGATTGTGTCAAAGCAGCTTTACAGTATTAAACGGGGAAATAGTGTGCTGTTCTCCTCTGGCTAGACAAAACCAGCAGTTAAATTCTAGGTTGCAGCAGAGTCAGATTGTGCAGAGGAATCATCTTGTTCCCGTGGTCTTGTCCCGATGGCCGTCTATGATGAGGTCTTTGGAGGGAATCCATCTCTGGGGCTCATCTAGTTGACATGGTCAACAATAGACATTGGCATCTTTTCTGAAATCTAGTTGTTGTATGGATCACATCTTTCAAACTGGCAATGCACCCAAATGCCTGAATTTCACAACAACCTAATTTTCTTCACTGCCCTCAACCTCATTGCTTCTGTCCTCTTTGGTCCTCAAAAAACTTTTTATTACTACAACCTGATTTTCTGATGCATTCCTGTCACTATCATCAATACTTTTTGAAATAAGTCCAGATTTGTCTCTCCATCTTCCCAAAATTTTACAAAAATAAACCTAAAACACATGCAAAAGGCTATGTCAATAGTGCTAGCTACGCAAAATATGCATCCCATAATAGGACTTTGTTATGCATGATGCTTAGATTTTTGGACCTCTGAGTTATTGTTTTTATAAAAGTGCATTAAAAATGACAAAAATCATTAGAACATTTCGATCTAAAATTATATTTTTTATAACTTGAATGTATATGCATTTTCTAGTCTAAAATGAGCTCACTATAGAGCCTTGAGAGCATGTAGGTGTGCTAAAGTCTCCTTTACTACCTAAAAATGGGAAGCACATGGCAAATAAATTTGAATTTTACTGGTTGAAGGGGATGTCATATGACATCACTAAACTTTTATTTTATTGGTTGACTATTAACTCTAAAAAATGCTGTGAACAGAGCTGTTTTGGACAAGGGCTGCTGTTCGCGGGGGAACTGCGAACCTCAGACCACCGCCTCGCGTTTCACTCGTAGCTGAAAGATGCCATGACTGACTCCATAACCTGCCCAGAAACATACAGTACTGAAATTAGAGAACGTATTTTAACATTAAATTAATTATATGTGACGTGACATGTGGCCAAGTATGGTGACCCATACTCGGAATTAGTGCTCTGCATTTATCCCATCCTAAGTGCACACACACAGCAGTGAACACACACACACCATGAACACACACCCGGAGCAGTGGGCAGCCATTTTTTTATGCTGCGGGGAGCAGTTGGGGGCTCGGTGGCTTGCTCAAGGGCACCTCAGTCGTGGTATTGAAGGTGGGAGAGAGCGCTGTACATTCACTCCCCCCACCTACAGTCCCTGCCGGTACGAGACTCGAACCCACACCTTTTGGGTTACGAGTCCAACTCTCTAACCCATTAGGCCACGACTTCCCCATATTCAGCTTTATAGAGAATAAAATCAGTTATTAGTTAGTTATGCAAGGCAAAATGCGTTTCCATTATGCGAAACGACCGACTGCTGCTGATGCATTTAGCTGACTGACATCTCGTCCTTGTATGTTGCGTTGCATAAAATAATGTAATATACAGCACAATAAAGACTATGTATACAAACCTTTATTTCGCTGAAGAACCGCTCTCTCCTAACTACCCAGCAGGCTCAACTCAGCGGTTGGGTAGAAAAAAATAACCCAGCAGCTTAGTTACAGAAAAACAACCCAGCACCTGGGTAAAAATTGTAAAAACAACCCAATAAAATTACCCAACAGGCTGAACCCAGTATTTGGCTTAAAAAAAATAACCCAGCATTTTTTAGAGTGTATTGCATTTTAAATGCAAATTTCTTAGCACCATTTATAAACCCCAAAGATGGTTGAAGTGCACTTTTTCTTGTTGGAATTTCATTGTGAACACACTGCTCACACTATTTCAACTATACAACAGCATAGAATAGTGCTTAAGCAAATTGGGATGCACCTTATTGTGTATTCTACTCAGTGACACTGTTTTTCGTTGATGTCATAGCTTTTAGCAATGAATCAACCTGCTTTTTGGTAGGCACAGCTATTTTTAAATTAAATGTGTGTGGCTTCCAGTGTGCTCCACTTCCAGCTATTTTTAGCTGTACAAAACAGCTCGTTTTGCTGCTTGATATTGCAAACTGGTGTTTCGTACCATTATTATTTGAATGTATTGTCTTGTAAACACACTGGTTTGCAGCACAAAACGTTTTATGTTATTCTTCTCATTAATATGTCTTGCACATTCACAGAAATCAGCTTCCGGAACACAGCCATCTTGAATACATCAAGAATGCAACTGCACCTCTTCAGCCACACTCTTCTCATTTCAACACGTCAACTTCCAGTTTCTTATGTAAATGTACAAGGCGCTCGTCCAGTCTTTCAGGTCAAAAATGTTCGATAGACTCTCGTTTAAAACATGTTTTACAGACATAAGAATGATCTGCGTGTTTCTGTTGCCTTATCGTTTTCTGATCGACGCAAGGCAAGGTAAGAACAAGGTTCATTCATTTTTGCATACATTACTTCCTTCTGATGGCAGCTACATTGAAACTATTATAAACGGTTTTTCATATTTAAAATGCTTTTAGCAAACATAATTCTGCCATTCCTTTTACATAGTGTATCATGTTTTTATTGTTGTTTGTTTTCTGTGTTCCTCAGAGAAACACTTCCTCAGCTACAAGTTTACAG